CGATTATTATCATTTATTTGAAAACTTCATTTATTGCCTTTGCATTCCGAACTCTGCGAATTAAGTAAAAAAATAGATTTTTAATAAAAATCAATACCATACTCAACGCAGAAGCAGTGTCATAACCAGTGAGGTTCTACCGAGGCGTGACTAATTGTAGTTAAAAAATATACAGGATTATTGAACGTAAAATAAACTCATATTTGTGTATCAGGCTTTAAACATTAAAAAAAAATAAGAACAAATTCTCTTAACTTGTTTTAGGTAAGAAAGCGTTGCTTTAGTGGATTAAAAAATTTCTTTTTCAATATATTTCGAAAGCCAGAAGATTCGCTCAGAATTATTTGTGGAATTTATAAAGGAAAAAAAAAGGCACTTTAAGTTCTCTCTTTCTCTTCAAATTGTCTTGCCGTCAAAGAAGTAGACTAATTAAATTAACAGTAATCAAAGTAATCCATCTTTCTGAAAAAATAGTAATCAAAATATTATCTGTGTTGTCCTAAATTTCTTTTGGATGTAACAGTTTCTCCGCTATTAAGAAATAATAACATTTGAATATTTGTTACCTGTTAAATGCTGCGTTTTTTTAGATGTAACTACTTAAGTAAATTGTAACAAATTTTTATTTTCAGCATTTCTCAGACTACCATTTGAATGGCATGGAAGTATTCAAGACATTATTTTAATCGAATTATTTCCTGATAAGTCTAGTGCGGTTCATTTCATACGCACGAACTGCCTCAGTTGCGGAAAATATCTTTCAAAATTAGATGAAATAAAAATATTTTGTTAACTGATAATAAAAATCATTACTCATATTAGTATTTAGCAATTAGTCTGACCGTTTTTCCTTAAAAAATAGAGCTTCTAGGAAATAATGATGACAGTTTTAAGATAAAAAGATAATTTTTGATTAAAAATGGCTTTTCTCGTTTTTCGCTAAAAATTATAATTTACTAAAGAAGCATTGCTTTGAATTTTAAATTATATATTACGCAAATTATTAGGAATACGGAAAGCCTGAATGAAAAGGGAGAATAATAGTGAAAAATATATGATTTTGGATGCTTTCCTTCAGCCATGTATTGAACAAAATGCCCCCTTCTATATAATATGCAGCGTGTCCTATTTTGCTGCATTAAAGTTGCCATCTGAATCGTATAGAGCGTATTAAATGTTATTTGATAAGTCATTTCTTGTTACTAGAGATTACAGCTTTCAGATAGAGAAACAAAGACATAACTATAAATATTTTTATAGACAAATTTCAAAATCTAAGAGAATCTACGGATGTGATATTGCTGAATCTTAGTTTGGCTTTTAAACATCCTAAACTTAAAAAGCGGAAAAGAAGGGCCAAAATTTTCAATCCCTAAAATTTTTCGGCTCAAGTTGACTTGATTTGTTTCGTATCACGTAACATTCAGCTCCCTTTAATAATAAGGAATTATTAATATTAAACTTTGATTGGTATATGAGAAGACTTCCTGTTAGTAATGATTAGTGTTCAAATAAAATCTTTCTGGAAACCAGACATCTGAAGTTACTCTTGTGAATTACAAATTATAGCTTTGAAGTCTAACAGTAACAATAACGTACACCAAGTAAAGTGGCATTACGTAAAAAGTAGCTTAGTCAAAAACTGAATAAAGCCAAAAAGATTAATCTCCAGATTTAATGATTTAATCTTTAATTAGTTAGTTCACAGCATTCAAATGTAACACATTTCTTGTTTTGTGAATTTATTACGTAGAATCGAAAGAACTGTGATGCTAGCTAAAACAAATACAAATATACAAATAATGGTCCAGAACACATAGTTTTTATAGTTTATAAACAATTTTTTTCTTTGTTTTAGACGATTTCTTATTTAATCCAAGACAAAAGATAATATACCTTAGTCTTAATTTAATGGAACATTGGTAAAGGTATAAATTATTTAAAATTAGTCTTCCTAAGCTGGAATGAATAAAAAGTGCGGTGAAAAATGAGGACTTAGCAAAATGCAAAATCCATGGCGGAGTGCCAAATTTTTAATTAATTCCTGCTGCTGAATTCAGAAGTACATCAGTCTCAGTAGTAGAAAAGCAATATTACCACAAACTGAATTCTTTAAAAATTATGCCTTTTTTCAAGTGAGATTTTATCGGGTTTCATGTTTCATCCAAAATAAGTGATGGAAACACATATTCACCCAATTTCGAGATATTTCTCATTTCAGTACGACCACGTCTTTATCATCTTAAAGCATCCGCCGCTATGAGTAAAGGTTTAAATAATTCAAAATATTTCCAAAACAGTTACCATTTTTACAAGAAAAGTGTATATGAGCAAATAGAGGGGAAAAAAAGGATCAAAATTGATTTGAAATCTGTAAATACTGAAGTTAATAGTTCTTTAAGGCAGCGATTCTCAACCGGTGGTACGCAAAGAAACAAAGTATTTTTAACTATTAAATTCAAAAATCTCGTGAAGAAAAAGAACAATTGATAGAAATTTCCTATGCTCGAAATCTAACTGAACATTTCAAAAATAACACACTTGTTAACTTTTGGCTGAACTGAAAAAAAGAATTTAAAAGCGTTTCTAATAAGGCTATTATCTATTTATTGCGTTCTTGCACAACCTATTTGTGGGAGATTTTCTTCCATGTTATATTTGAAAAAATAATACAGAACAAAATTAAAAGTGGATCCTAATTTACGGTAAAAACTAAGTGAAATAAGGCCAGATCTAAAGAAATTGATCTATCTTGAACAGGTCTAAATTTCACACTAAATTTTGGAATTAAAGTATTATAACTTAATTTTATTAATTAAAATGGCAACCAATTTTTAATCTAATATTTTTTGTGTGTGCATATTTAATACAAACATCCAATATATTGTGCAAAAATGTCAAAATATATTTAAAAAAAATTTTTCTATTGAGAAACTGAAAAATAATCATTGTATAATCTAGCGGTGGTGCTAAAGTTTTTCAGTTTTTGTTTAGATGGTACGCTTTAGTCAAAAGGTTGAGAAGAGAAGCGCTTTTTTAAGGTATTCATAACCATTTTATGACGAAATAGGTTAAGTCACATTTTTTAAAATATAATGTAATTGCACATTAAAACAAAAACTCCTGAAATTAGGTAAATACATGCCAATTGAAAAATAAATTAATATAAAAAATGCACTATAAGAAATAATTTCACATTATTATACTTATCAATACTTTTTATATAAGGTCCCCAGGAAGCATTTTCATAACTAAAAGAAAATAACATGATCATCACAAATGATACATAATACATACATATTTCGTGCAGTTTGCAGGAAATATACATAAGTTCAAATGATAATCCGCAGCCAGTATTTGTCTTTGAAGGGGGAGATTTTCTCATTCCTCATTTCGAAATGTAACGACTTTTAGAATTTGTTACGCAAAGTTTGTATTGCATGATTAAATATCTCAATTAGATGTTGCACAAATCTAGACTTGTTTAGAGAGGAAAAAAAACTTAGAATAAAATTTATATTTATATGATAAATAGAAGGATACAGAGAAGTATTAAGATGCAGTTTTCATGTGAGTAAGTTTACAAGAAAATGAAGAGACGAGAAAATTAAACTGATGTACTGCGGTGTGCTATAAAAGCGTTTTGAATACTTAGCAAGAAGAGCAAATGTTGTCACATCTTCTCAAGTTTTACTCTATAACCAGTATTTGCGATTTGTTACAAGCATAAATCATTTTCATATATCCTCTAAGACAAGCGTGGGTTCACTGTACTTTTTAAGTTTTGTTTAGAAATAAATTCGCTTTGACTCATGAAGTGAAAAATACACAAATAAACTGGGTATTTATGCAACATCTACAGAATGGACGAATTTGAAAAGCTAATAGAAATTTTAGAAGTGTACCTCCTACAACATTTGATATTCAGCAGTGAGTTTTACATCTTTCTGACAAACAAATATCCTATGAATAAAATAATTATCATATGAGTGGAAAAATTCTATGTATGTTTTCAAAAGTGAAAGACTTGCATAACCCCGAAAATTGTGAAGCTGAATTATGAACTCTTGATACAACACAAATTAGATATAATAATGCTCAAAAAAAGAGGATGCAATTTATTTATCACTGATGTTTATATTTCTGTAAAACGTGCTTCGCATTTAAAAATAAAAGTAAAAATAAAAAATAAAAAAATAAAATCCTACTTTTTTTCCCTCAGCGTAGGAGCGGAAAATGTTCATATCCTGCAAAAATATTATGCACCTAAGCCGTGGTAAGTTATTAATATTCTATGTAACTACTAGCCGGCATTGTAAAACTGTCTTATTTATAAAAAAAAAAAAAAAAAAAAAAAAAAAAAAAAAAAAAAGTAAGGGTTTCCATATGCAGTTGTGTTTCCATATCCGTTGCTTATCATGACTCGAAAATTTAAAAAAAAATTAAAAATAAAGGATGCGCGAGTTACGAAACTCTTTCCAAATTAATATGGTTTGTAACTAGGTGAAATGCAGCAGTTCAAATATATCGAATTCGGTCTTTCCATAATAACTGCGATCGTTAACCCACATACTCCTGCGGGATCCAAAGCAATGTGTTTCAGCGTTTATGCAATACTTTTATTAACAAAGTGTTATTTTGATTATTTTGCTATCTCTTTAAGTCGCTTCCAATATGATTTAGTGTACCAACATTATTTTTTAATTTCTCTGTGATCTCTTAATTAATGCTAAAATACAAGAACTCTTTACTCCAAAAAGGTATTCGCTATTACCCACAGTAAATGTCAGAATGTAACATCTGTGGATACAGAGCATTACTGCACTGATATTATAGAACAAATACTATTAATATGGGAATATCCTATATTTATAATTTAAAAAGATGTTATAATTTCCCCTTACGTTTATAATTTTCATATAAGCTTGTGGGGATTTAAGTTACTTAACAGATAATTTTATTTTCAAACAATCTTTCCTATTGCTCTGGTTTCAACGCACACTTTCTTGCCAGAATGTAAATGCGTTAGCACGCGTGTATTCAAAATGAAATAGAAAGAAGTTAGTATTTAAGGGAAGGCTTTGGAAGGTGAATTTAGAACATGATCTGCCTGTCTAAAGGACACGTTGCTATTCTTGATTTACTAGCGGTTAGATTTCCGTGGCGTTGAGCGCTTCTATCCATTAAGCTTGTTTACGCCGACTTTTACAAGACAGAGCCTGCCTGCTTTCATAAATAACCTATTAAAAGTAGTTAAACTAACTTAATTCTGTTCTCTTTTGAGTTAATAGATAAGTGTTGGTTTTTTGTAAACACGACTCGATGCAATCTGGGAATAATATTAAGTTAATAAAGGGTTCTTTACATCTTTCCTCTGGACTTTGTCGTACTTCAGACTTAAGACTAATTCCGTACACAGTCTACTAACGCGTAGTTAGTTTATGCTCTCTAAGAATGCAAGACGTTATAAGCTTTTAAAAGCATTCTAAAACTTTTTATACTTCAAACATTAGCTACATATCAAATGCATGTCTTAACCTGAAAAATTTTTTGCAGTTCGTTTAAAAGCTATTTTAAATTTTATTTTGAATATTTTGATGCACTGGAATTGAAGAATTTCATTTAATATTAAATTATTAACTATTAAAAATACAGAAATATAATGCAAAAAAGCAGCTTTTTAAATTGTACTTCTTTGGTTAAGATTTTACATTTATTTTATTGTTTAGTGCGTTCTTCATTTTGCCAGATGCTTTCTAAGCAAACTATTTAATTGAGACCTGGATGGATTAAATCGTTTTCCTTTAACTCAAAATCCGAACTGTAACTTCATACGAATCTTTTTTTTTTTTTTTTCTTTAATATAAAATAAACGAGCCTACGCAGTGATATTTATTATTATCTGAGTATTGCGCATCACTTTTATGAGACATTTTGCCTCCACTTGCTCTATCTCTTCATGCTAGTTTCGGCAAAACGTAATAGTAGCTACATTCTTTAGCACATTTACTCTGCTGTTGCAATATTTGTTTGTTTCAAAAGCTCTCATTGTTTCCAAAGATTTCGGGCTAGTAACAAAAAAAAAACTGCTTTTCTCCATCCTGATAGGAAATTGTCTGTTTGATAAGTGTACTTTGTCTTCTACTAATATATTATTCGCACTTTCTAGTCTCAACACGATCTTTTAAATTATGTATGGTAGGAAAATATTTGAAAATGTATAATTTTGGTTAGGGCAGTTTTCATGTGGTAAAACAGTTTAAAAAACAGTGGTAAGTATTACCGAAACGAATGCTAATTTAGAAACAAAATCACAGCTAATGCAACAAATAACTTTTAAATATCTGTTACGCATATTTACTTGTACTCATTCATTATTCCGAATTCATTAAAAAATCCGAGAAAAATCTGCAAATAGCTTTGTAAAATTTAAAAATTTATATTATTTGTAAGTTTTAATTAACAATATTTCAAAAAGCTAAAATATTAATTCCAGTCAAACTTCGAGATAAAGACTTAGAAAATTATGAGAAATTTGAAATTCAACTTTAAATACCGCAATTAACAGAGAAAGCAAAAAGAAATGCAAAATTTTAATGAGCTTGAAGAAAGAGAGTGCTACTGAAAACGATGTGAAACCGACACCTTTACGCGGTAGTTTGTTCTTCACATCTGGCGACTTTATATTTTAATAGACCTCATAGTTGGTCTTTTTTTAATCTCTTTGAACTATTTTTATAATTTATTGAGGTACTTACTAAAAATGAATAAAAAATCCGGAAAAAAAAAAACCATTTTAGAGAATTTTATGCCAACATTCTAGCGTTGTTTTCTATTAAGGTACATAAAATCGAAGAACATTTCATAATATTTCAGTGAGACGGAAATATTAGCAGAATATATTTATTATACAGAGTGATACAAGTTGTGCACATCAAATTTTCAAAAATAGTGAAAATTTCAAAATGTTTACTAATGGCCAATATTTCAATAGATGACATCCCTGTACTGTTACAAGTAATCTGTCACTTAGAATTTCAGTTGTAGTTTATGCAGTTAGCCTTAGAAACCGTTTATTTGGTGCAAGACGGGGAAATTTTCTGAAGCAGAATGAATTCTTACTTATTTCACAATGCATTGTTACAGAAAAATTGTTGAAGCTCTTAAATAGATCTTTCCCAGTGTTTGCGAATCTGATAAGACAACTGTTGTTTACTTGGTAATTTCGAAAAACTGGAAGCGTTCACCGTAAGAAATGAAATGACCGCCCTTCTCTTCTGAGTTGTGACAAAATGTATAAGTCAGGGATAAAATGTAGTAATCACTAACCGAGATTGAAAGAAAGATGGCATCGCAATCGAATTTATGCAATGCGAAGTAATGTTCCATTATAAAAATTCGTTCTGCTTAGAAAAACTTCTCTCCGTCTTCCACCAAACAAATGACTTTCAAAGCTAACAGCACAAACTACAACTGAAATTTCAAGTGACACATTACTCCCAACCCTATGGGGATGCCATCCATTGAAATATTATCGATTAATATCTATTTTTAAGCTTCCCTAATTTTTGAATATTTGATGTGTATGACTTTTGGATTAACTGATATTTTAAACACTGAAATAATTTCGTAATCGTAAGTGACGTAGGACATATATATGCGATTCTTACAGTCAAATTGAATATATAGCAGCTAGTTACCTCGACTGCAGTACCGATGGGCTTGGGTTCAAATCCCAGAAAAGGAATGGACGTTTGTAAACGTATAGTGTCTGTACGGCAAGGGAGGTATTCAGAATACACGGAGAGCTGAAAGTTCTCTCAAGAGATTGTGGATAGGAGAAAAGGGATCGAAGACTATTAGATCATCTCTTGGAGTATTCTCCCTTTAAAATTAGGGCAGAAGTTTAACAGTTAGCTAGATTCAGCTATTCAGCATACCCTATTGTATCAATTACCTATGATACTACAGGGTTGTTGACCTAGCTTCTACTTGTGCCTATCCTTTTGAATCGAATCATTAGTATACTACATAAATCTCTATATTATAGAGGCTGTTAGTTTGTATTAAATTTTATGGCATGTTGGGAATTTAAGGATATGCGCACAACAAATGAGAATGCAAGGAAGCAAGAATGCAACTCTTCTATCAAACTGTAAAATTCTTTGTCAATCATGTAAATAGGAAAGAAACTCCAGAAAGAGGTTTTCTGTTGAAAATTTGGTAGGAAACTTATTTTCGTGAGGGAGGAAGGAGTTAATTTCGAATGGCTGTCGCTTTCACCCCACTCAAGCTCTAAAGACTAAACAATATATGATGCAACATACAAAAGAGGAGCCAGCAAGGAAGATGTCAAAAATGAAAGAGGCTTTTATAGTTAGCCTTTTCCATTTTTAATTTGATTTCATTTTGAAGGATTACTAAATCAAGAATATTTGAGTAATGATGAAGAGAGAAAAATTAAAATAGAGTTGTAATAATTTTCAAGGCATTTAGGTAAATATTAATACCATGACATCATTTGCATTGTTACTACCCGAAAATTAAACATCATTGAGTTCAAATGAATGCAGACAAAAATTTTTTTCAGTGTTACGCTCAATTAGGTAAACAGATCTCAAAACGGAATATTTAGTTAATTTATTTTCATACTATATGCAAAGTTCCCAAGAAAAAAGGTGAAAACGCAAACTGGGGAGGAATCTAGTTTACTTCTCCCAATCTCCTCATGTTATAGACATTGGTGCATCCAGATACAATGTGGAAACTTTCTGGTTCGATTCCCAATGAGAAACATTTGATCTTTCAGGATCATGTCTACTACATAAATCTAAGATTACTGTAACTTTATAATACTTGCTGACCAAAATGTACAGTCAGCATATGTAAAATATAAAAAATGTGCTGTAGATTTTAATGCAATATATTCACTTGATTTTATCGTAAAATAAATTTCAGATTGTAAATTACAAGTAGATAAATGTAGATTGTAAATTTACAAATTTTAGTCTTCTAACGCACACAAAAAATAAAAACGTGTCCAAATATACGACTGAAATAAAATCTGAGCTTGTGCATTGACGATTTAAAGCAATCTTCGATGGATATCCTTTCCTTTGACCTTAAGCTCGAATTAAATAAGGCACAAAATAAGAATAAACAAATGGGAAAAAAAGAAAAAGAAAACAAAGAGAAAAAAATTATGCACTCGGGATTGTTTAAAGATGAAACCAAAAAGTTGTTACTTTCTCATTTCTCTATCTTTCTCTCTTCTTT